GCCAGAAAGGCGAGCCTCAGGAGCTTCACACAAAAAATAAATAACTGCCGAGCTCATCTTCAACTCTTGGACTTCATTCTCTCGGCCTTTGTCTTGTTACCTGACCCCGGAGTTCTGTCATAGTATCCCAACCCGCCCAGTCAAACGCCATGCCCTCAGCTCACTCTCCCCGGAAACTCCTCTCCCTGAGTGTGCATCTCTGTGTGGCTTACTCAGGTTATAAGAATATTCTAGACCTAACCAGTTTGGCTCAGTGGATAGAGCGTCGGCCTGCAGACTGAAGGGTCTTGGGTTCGATTCCAGTCAAGGGCATGTACTTTGGTTGCAGGCACATCCCCAGCGGGGGGTATGCAGGAGACAGCTGATCAGTGATTCTCTCCCATCGATGTTTCTAGCTCCCTATCCTTCTCCCTTCCTCTCTGTAAAATAAATAAATAAATAAATAAATAAATAAAATATTAAAGATAAAAAATATATATTTATTCTACAAATCTGGCCCCAGACAAAAGCACAGGCCACCTCCAACCAAACACTCCCTAATAGAATTACTGCTTTACACCTTCATGCAATGGGCAGTGTTTTTCAAAGCACTTTTACCGGCACCCGGCACCCTCACACTAACTCTGTAAAGTGAGTAAGCAGCCTATGACCCCTCTGCAGCATCTAGAAGCTGAAGGAAATGCCTCCGTGACTTGGGAAGTGAAGAAGCAGGAGGTTTGAGAGAAGCCCGTGCAGGGCCCACCAGAGGCCTCAGGTGGGAAGAGGCAGGTGCTTGGTCCTGGCATCGCCCTCCCTGGGCTCAGCTCCGAGCTCTGCCTCCAAGCTTTGCCTCATCCTGCTACCAGCGCCCAGAATCCCTCGCGTTTCACCGAGACACCGAGGTCCAGACGTGGAGAACAGCACGGCTCAGAGCCACAGGAGGAACCAGTCTCTCCATCCTCAGGAGAAGGTCCACTTTGCTCAGCAATGCCGCCCTTTAAACATGGAGCTACATCTCCCAGCAATGCTCTGTTTCCTAAGTCTGTCCTCACAAATGGAGACACCAAAGCACCTGAGCCTAGTTCTTTTCAGGTCCTCCCTTCCTCCAGGTGATGGAGGGACGTAAACCCCACCTACAGCCAGACATTCCTGAGCACTGGACCACCCATCAGCACCTGCCCAATACCCTAAGCCCCTGATTCCTAAGTCCCTAGGTCCCTAATCATAGGCCTTACATGAAACAATCAATCAGTATGTGCTGAGTGCCCTAAGCCCCGTCCCTTATCCTCCCCTTAAAAAGGACATAAACCCCAGCCTCACTCTCTTCTGCTCTCTCTCTCTCTCTCTCTGGAAGCAGCCGGCAGTGGTACTCTTCTCTTCAATAAAACCTGTGTCCTGGCCTCCCGGTCTCCGGCCCCTTCTGTTTCATCTTTCAGTTCTAAGAATAACAAATTATGTAAGATGATTAAAAGATTCCACACAAACTTTACGGAGGTGGTTGCACTGGGCACCTGTAAGTACTCGTTCCACCGCGTGATTCCACCGCGTGCCTGAGGAAGTCTGACTTATGAGCCCATGTCCGCTCCTGGCACGGATTCCACCCCCAGGCACAGCTCTGGACGGGATGCTGTGCACGTGTGGGGAAATGTTTACATCATAGATGAGACTGGAATGAGTGTGGGGGAAGCAATGCCAAGGAGAGAGACGATAGACCTCAAATTGGTGAGGTCCCATTTGGAGGGACACCCTGCAGGAGACTGAAAGGAGTTAGCAAGGGGCTGGACCTGGTAGGGCCTGAGGGCATAAGGCCAGCTTCTCTCACAGTCTCACTCCCTCTCCTCCCCTCCCCCGCCCTGTCTTCACCGCTTTGCGAGGACTGTGGGTTGAGGATCTGCGTACACCCACCCAGGCACACCCAGGTGCCTGAGGGTGCTTGTGAGTGACAAGGACACACTCCCTAGCTGTCTCTGGAAGGACTGGATTGTTCTGGAAGTGCAGTGTCTACTTTCCCAACCTCCACACACTGCCTGGGACTCAGGGACCCCAGAGTCCCGCCGTTCCCACTCCCCACAAAGGAGGGGGAGGAACTGTCTCTCCTCAGGAGAGCAGAGGGTCTGTGTTCCTCCCCCCGGGCCCGATAACCCTGAATAAATGATGGCCCAATGCACCCTTTTCTGCACATGTGTTATGTCAGTTTTGTGAAGGCTTAATTACACGTGTGTGCTTGGGCTGCAGGTGACTGTCTGGAGGCCACGCAGGCGCCTTGGGGACAGAGCCACGGTTGGGGAGGTGGGGATGTTGGGGCTTTTAGTATTTGAAACGTTATCGTTTGTTAAAAATTAGAAAAAAAGAAACCTTGGTAATTGCCTTTTATTAAAAATTAAGGGGGGAAAACCTTGGTAATTATCCTTTATTAAAAAGCAGAGGCCTGATGCACAGATTCATGCACAAGTGGGGTCCCTCAGCCTGGCCTGTGAAGCCGGGCCAAAACCAGCTCTCCCACATCCCCAGAGGGGTCTGGGATTGTGTGAGGGCACTGGCCCAGCTGAGGGACCCTGCCGGTGCACAACGGGCTGGGGAGGGACTGTGGAAGGGCTCCAGGGTGTGCCCAGCCCATCTCCCTCAGTCTTGATTGTCCAGACCCCAGCAGCAGCAAGTTAATCTATGGGTCAGAGCGTCTCCCCTGGTGGTCAGTGCACGACATAGCGACTGGTCCAATGGTGGAAGGGTGGGACATTCAGCATATTCAGTTTTTATTATATAGGATTTTTTTTTTAATGGTAATTATCGAAGATCCAAGATGGCTGCGCCCAGGTAAATACCTAGCCGCAGCCGCACACAACAATTTCAATAAAATACAACTAAAATATAAAACGGACATTACCCAGAACTACAGGAAAGTTGACTGACTGGAAATTCTACAGCGAGAAGCAAGGAGAAAACCAGAAGAAGGCGCGGAGGAGCTGGAAAAGCCCAAGGTTCGGAGACACGGTGCGCAGAGAGGATGGAGCCAGAGAGGAGGGGGAGGCGGAGTGCCTGGCGGGCATTCCCTAGCGGAAAGGAGATAAAACTCTGAATGTGCTGGGCCCCGACTGCTCTGAACCCCAGTTCTAGGCCAGACCCCGGGGACTCAGACTCAGCCATAGGGAGCCGGGCTGTAAGGCGGAACCCCGGGGAGCGGCGAAAGGAGGTCCGGTAGGCGTGCACACTGCAGCAGAGAAGGGACAGTCGGCTGTGCCGCGGGATTGCCCTGACGGGAAGGAGACTGGGGCTCCAGACTGCTGTGAACGCCACCTCCAACTCCACTTCCAACTGAACTGAACCCCAATACCAGGCTCATTGTGGGAGAGCATAGACTGTTTGGCAGCAGGCGAAAATCAAGGGCACCTTTATCTCAGAGGCGCCGGCAGCGAGCACTGAAGGACCCGCATAGGGCGGGGCTGACGGAAGCCAAAGCTGCAGGCTCCACCCTGTAACCCCGTCCCATCTGTAACTACGAAATTCGACAACAAAATAGATCACAAACGAAAGAAATGGAGGACAAAAAGCGTCTGGATATAGAGTTCAAATCTACGGTTATAAGGTTTTTCAAGAATTTCCTAGAAAAGATGGATAAGACCTATGAGGATATGAAAAGAGATCAACTAGAATTAATAAGGAGTCATCAAGAAATGATAAGGGATCAACAAGAAATAAAGAATACATTGTCTGAAATAAAAAATATTTTACAGAGTCCTAAAAACAGAAGGGAAGATTGTAAGAATCAAGTCAAAGATTTGGAACATAAAGAGCCAGAAGACACTCCTCCACAGAAGCTAGAAGGCAAGAGAATCCAGAAAATTGAAGATAATGTAAGAAACCTCTGGGACAACTTCAAGCAAACCAACATCAGAATTATGGGGGTCCCAGAAGATGAGAGAGAGCAAGATATCAAAAACATACTGAAAGAAATAGTGACAGAAAACTTCCCCCACCTGGTGAAAGAATTAGACTTACAAGTCCAGGAAGCGCACAGAACTCCAAACAAAAGGAATCCAAAGAGGACCACACCAAGACACATCATCATTAAAATTCCAAGAGCAAAAGACAAAGAGAGAATATTAAAAGAAGCAAGAGCAAAGAAGGTAGTTACCTATAAAGGAGCACCTATACGATTGTCAGCTGACTTCTCAACAGGAACCATGCAGGCCAGAAGGGAATGGCAAGAAATATTCAAAGTGATGAATAGTAAGAACCTACAGCCAAAGATAATCTATCCAGCAAAGCTATCACTCAGAATCAAAGGCCAGATAAAGAGCTTCACTAATAAAAAAAAAAAAAAGCTAAAGGAGTTCATCACCGCCAAACCAGAATTATATGAATTGCTGAAGGGGGTTCTTTCAGAAGAGAAAGTAAACAAAGATAAAAATTATGAACAACAAATACATAACTATCAACAAGTGAATCTAAAAACCAAGGAAATTAAAAAAAAAATCTGATGAACAATAGTAACTGTTGAATATAATAGAATCAGAGGTATGGAAGGGGAGTGAACTGAGGATTCTTGGGGGAAAGGGGAGGGGGGGGGCGCGTGGGAAGAGACTGAACATAAACTATGCACCTATGGATGAGGACAATGGGGAGTGGGGAAAGGGCAGAGGGTGGGGTGGGAACCTGGTGGAGGAGAGCAATGGTGGGGGGGGGAGGAACATTTGTAATAATATGAACAATAAAAACTTATTAAAAAGTAATAATAATAATAAAATTAAAAATGGTAATTATCAAAAGAAGCTGAACTGGCTGGAGAGTGGGATGCACCCACCTCCCTGCCTGGGATCTCTTTCCCAAGCCGGTCCCTGACCCTGTCTCTAGGCAGCAAGGAGAGAAAAGCTCGGACAGGTCATAGAGGCCCAAAACTTCTGCACTGAACACAGGTGAGGAGGAGGTTCTGAGGCCAGACTCTGCAGGGTCAGGAGGTCAGGGGAGCAGACTGTGTGTGTGTGGGGGGGGGGGGGGGTGAGGGGTCAGGACGGAGGACTCACCCCCCTGCCAGGTGTCGGACAGGTTCTGCAGCGTGGTGACGGGGATGCAGAAGAGGGCGATGAGCAGGTCGCTGAGCGCCAGGGAGCAGATGAAGATGTTAGTGACGGTGCGCATGGCCCTGCGGCGAGCCACCACGGAGAGCACCAAAGCGTTGCCGGGCAGCGCCAGCGCCAGCAGCAGCGCGCCAGACAGCGCCAGGGCCAGCTGCGCGCGCGCAGGCAGCTCGGGCACCCACACCAGCGGCCGCAGCCCGTAGCGCGCGATGAACTGCTGGCGGGTCAGGTTGTGGTCCCGCAGCAGCCGCGACAGCCGCTCGGCGGTGATGTTGAGCGCCTGCATGGCCCGGCCGGCCCGGTGCCTGCGGGATGGCCTGGCCCGGCCCGGGGCGGAGGGGCAGCCCGGCGAGACGCGCGCACGGACCGGGCGACGGTTCCCAAGTGCGGCTCCTCTGGCTCCGGACTCCGGAGCGCAGGGCTCCGCGCGCTCGGATCTGACTGGCTCTCCGGGCGGGAGGAGGGGCGTCGCTGTCGCCGCCCACCCAGGGCGGGAGCACTCTCCTCTGGGGCACCCTCCCCCGGGCACGGGACAGGGATGGGCAGAGCTGAGGACTGGCCTTTCCCAAGCTCGAAGTTTGTGTGCGTTCTCCTCTTAGGAAATAGAGTGGCCGCCGCCGTTTCTGTTGTTAAAATAATAACTATAACAACACAGAGCGGTCCTGTGCGTTCCTCACCTGGTTCCTCCCCCTAATTCCATCGGACTTAAATCCGGGAGAGTTCGCACAGGGTGCGTGTGTGTGTGTGTGTGTGTGTGTGTGTGTGTGTGTGTGTGTTGGGGGGGAGGGACGGATTTTATTCCAAGTGAAAGCCCCTAGAGCCACCACCAAAGTCAAGCTAGAAACCTCCCCTCTGGGCAGGGAGACCTGCCTCCTGCCCCAGCTCTCCCACCACCTACCTCCCCCCTCTCCCAGTCTGTCCTCCAGTTCGTTCTGCTTCTGACTGAGACTGTGTGCCTGGGCCGCACAGGCACAGCCTGTGGATGCTGCTTTTCCGCTCAAATCCACGCCTGCCCAGGGCCTGCCGGCTCCTGTTTGGGGCTGAGGGTGATCAGTTCCCTTAACCACTCTGGCTGGCCGGGGGACGTTCGGTGTCTCTGGTGTGGGGCTGTTACAAGCAAAGCTGCTGTGAGGAGTCACGCCCAGATTTTTTGGGCAGGCATGCGTGTTCATTTCCCTGGGAAATGCCGAGGAGTGTGCTGGCTGAGTTTATGGTTGGTATGTCTAGCTTTTTAAGAAATTGACAAATCGCGGTCCAGAGTGGTTTGTTCCATTTTACATTTTACAAAGTAAGAAGTTCGGTTTCTCCCCCTGATGCTGGGTTTGTGTTTGTGTGTTTAGCTGCCGTGCGAGTGTGGCGATACCTCACTGAGTCTTCGTCTGCCTGTGCTGACAGTGAGGCTGAGGAACACCTCAGGGTGCTGATCTGCGTCCTGGTGTCCGGGGGGTGCCTGGCCCGTATTCTACAATAATTGAGCCACTTGGCTGATTAGCTCTTGGGTGTTACGGGCTCCTTTTGTAGGCTAGACACCCGTCCTTTGCCAAATCAGTGGTTTGCACCTATTTCCATTGGTCTGTTACCCTGCTATGTATCCTCTTAACAGGGCCTTAGAGGTCCAAATTTTCATTTCAGTGAAGTTCCACTGATCAATTTCTCCTTGTATTAATTATACTTTTGATGTCCCATCTAATCCTTCGCCGAGTCCTATGACCCCAAATGTGCTTCTGTGTCTTTCTCTGGTAGGCCAGAAGTTGGGAATAACTCACTTGCCCATCATGAGTGGATGAGCAAATGTGCCATGCACATGCCATTTTCCTCTGCCTTCACAAGGAAGAACATGCTCACACATGCTACAATATACATGCTCACACATGCTATAACATACATGAGCCTTAGGAGCCGCGTGCTCAGTGACATCCACCCGACACGAAAGAACAGCACAGCGAGGCTCCGCTTCCCTGCGGCGTCGGAGGCATCAGGGTCACAGAGGCAGACGGGGTGGCTGCGGGGGCAGGGAGCAGGGCAGGGGCCTCGTCATGGCCACGTGCGGCATTCCAGACTGGCAGGATGGAAAGACCTCTGGCTGCCACATGCGTGTGCTTACCGCTGAGCTGTACGCAAAGGTGGTTAAGATGGTACGTGTTATATTTCACCACCATTTCTTCCAAAAGAAAAAGACTGCGATAATGATGTCTTTGAACGGTGCTTCACACGCACTATCTCATTTCGTTTCCACAATGGCTGTGGAAGGCAGGTGCGTCCATTGTCCTTGCCATACAAATGAAAAGGGGAGGCAGAGAGACTGTTACGAAACTCCCTCAAGATCACACCGGTACAAACCGTGTGTGTGCTTCTCAAAACCCCAGGCGGTCCGGCTCTCGAGCCCATGCTGTCTCTGTTACAAAGCAAGGAGCCGTAATGTGGGACAAGACACCGAGGAGGCGGCGGCGTGGGGTCCCGAGGCTGATAATGAGGCCGTGGGCCGGCGTCGTGCCAGCAAACCCGGTTCCAGGACGCCACCCGGTTCCCAGCCACCAACTTCCGGACAACGAGGAAGCCGGGCCCAGAGAGAAACACCGCGGACCAGGGCAGCCCTCGTGGCCTGAGAAAAGAAGGAAGCAGACGTCTCCCTAGCTCTGGGCTCAGGGGGGAACCTAGCACCTTCGCTTTTACATAAGAAATACCAAGGACACAATGCACCATGTGTCCATTAGCAGGGAGCAGCCGCGGGTGGCTGCTCACTATTACGCACGCCTAGGGTAGTCCTGGTTCTGAGAGTGATTTGTACAAAGACAGGGAGAATAAAGCCTCGTGTTCTGCTGACTGGGCCCGGCGGGAGAGGGCTTCAGGGAGTTACCACCATTCTGTTACGCCCAGACTTCGTGATCCCCAAGGATCACCAGGGAGCTGAGCCCAATGCAATAAACAAAAGAGCCTTTTCCATGCTAGCATGGGCCCTGTCCCACTCACGCCAGCAGCATGGTGGAAGAGAGCGAATTTCATCCAGTCCAGAGGTTTTACTCTGGTCGGTGGTGATGTCACTGTCTTGGCTAACCCTGATTGGGCTGAGTCCAGTTACAAAATGGAGGATAACTCCGCCCTGCCCCACAGTGGAGTCAGGAGCTCATCCTCGCCCCGCCCTGCCCTCTCAATTTCTCTCCGAGAGACCAGCCTGGCTCTCATGGCCAGGCTGTGGCAGGGCGCTGCAGATGGAGGGTGGTGGGGGGGCACAGTGAGACTGATGTGACCTCCGGGGCAGATTGACAAGAGATCACGTGTTCCGCACACAACGTGCCCCCGGTTAGTTTCAGAACATTGAGGGGCTCGGCTGCACTGTCTGCTGTTCAGGTGGACCCTCCCAATCCAGCCAGGTCAGCACCCGCTTGTGTAACGTGCAGCCTGAGGATTCGCTGAACCCACATGACTGAAGAGCCGCCACGGACAACCTTCAGAAAATCAGAGGCGGGGAAAGCCAGTGTCAGCTGGGCAGGGGTGAATGGTCACCTTCCCCCAGAAGGCAGATGGGGTTTTATTTTATTTTTTTTTAATATATTTTATTGATTTTTTTTTTTAAAGAGAGGAAGAGAGAGAGAGAGAGAGAGTTAGAAACATCAATGTGAGAGAATCATTGATCAACTGCTTCTTGCACACTCCCTCCTGGGGATGTGCCCGAAACCATTGTACATGCCCTCAACCGGAATTGAACCTGGGACCTTTCAGTCCGCAGGCCGACTCTATCTACTGAGCCAAAATGGTTTCAGCCAGATGGGGATTTTAAACCACACATGTGCCCTAGCTGGTTTGGCTCGATGGACAGAGAGAGCATCAGTCTTCAGACTGAAGTGTCCTGGGTTTGAGTCCAGTCAAGGGCACATGCCTCGGTTGGGGGCTCAATTCTCAGTAGGAGGCATGCCAGAAGCAGCCAATCAATGGTTTTCTCTCATCATTGATGTTTCTATCCCTCTCTCCCTCTCCCTTCTTCTCTGAAATCAATAAAAAATGTATTTACACACACACACACACACACACACATATGCATGCATGGCCAGTGAGATTGCAGAGGGCCTTGATAATGAGCAGGGGTAGTCAGCACAGGTTTCGGGGAGAGGCGTTGTGGTGAAGGCTTCATTACACAGGTGTTAGGGGACAGCAGCATCTGTGATCCGGGGCCACCTGTTTGCCCCTGGGTCCCAGCTGACTTTCCTCATCTGTCTAGGCCCCCGTTTCCATGACTATAGCCTTGGGATTGCAAGAACTATGGCACGTTAATGCTTCTATTGTGAGCAGTTTAAAAAAATCCATGTGAACTGTCCAGCACTTTGCCTAACAAAAGGCGGGTGATAAAATGATCTATTAGGATTTTCTCCTGTGAAAACAGTGAACCGGGTCCAGCACGGCCAGGGTGAACCTGAGGAGGGACGGTGAAGGAATAAAGAAGACAGCCAAGAGGATACGCTGGGACCAGGTGGATCAATGCCTGGAGGAGGAAAGCCAACTCTTTATTTTATAGTCAGAGCACACAGAGCAGAGCAAGGGGGTGGTCAACATGTTTACAATGTTCTAGTGAGTTTCAGATCTATTTCATTACTCAGGCCTTGTTCTGGCAGCATGTGCTGTGCCCACAGCCCATTCGCTACCCAGGAACAAGAGAGGACTAGAAGGTCAAGCTTAATTGTGCTGGAGGGCTCTGCTCCGCGCTGGGGCTGGTCTGTGCTCTGCCCTCCACGCTGGGCTTGTATGTGGCTCTGCCCTCCACACTGGGGCTTGTATGTGGCTCTGCCCTCCACGCTGGGCTTGTATGTGGCTCTGCCCTCCACGCTGGGCTTGTATGTGGCTCTGCCCTCCACACTGGGGCTGGTATGTGGCTCTGCCCCACACTGGGGCTTGTATGTGCTCTGCCCTCCACACTGGGGCTTGTATGTGCTCTGCCCTCCACACTGGGGCTGGTATGTGCTCTGCCCTCCACACTGGGGCTGGTATGTGCTCTGCCCTCCACACTGGGGCTGGTATGTGGCTCTGCCCTCCACACTGGGGCTGGTATGTGCTCTGCCCTCCACACTGGGGCTGGTATGTGGCTCTGCCCTCCACAGGTCAGTCCCAGGCTTGACTCTATAGCCGCTCCCTACAAACAGCAAGCAAGGGTTTAAAACAATGTTGAGTTTAACCCAAACCCCTTCAGGAAATGTGTTTCTTTCCATTAAACTTTTTTTTTTTTTGGTCCCTTTATGTAGTCGCTGGAGAGTAACTCCCTATTTTGCAGTCTCCTAAGGTTCATTCTTTCAAACACAAGTATTATTAAC